CGTTTATTTCGACCTGAGTCGGAACGACTTTCACCACCACAGTAAGCTCGTAAGTTGTAGATTACATATTTTGAGCCTCCGTTTCTAGCCAGTTTTTCAGTAAACCTCTTCTGAAAATTCCGTATGAGAAGCTGTGAATCATAGAGCTTTGATAAATCAAACTTTGCATTTAACATACACCCCCAAAGAAGGTACTTTCTCCAGCCAAACAACCTAACTCGATTTCGACGGAGTTTCGAAAGGAGAAACCTCACCCATGTCTAGTAAACACAATCAACTAATTGTTTACCCATGCGTGGTTAGAAAACGCTAATTAATTCTCATTAAAAACGGTGAGTCGTTTATACTCTGGTAACAGTTACTAAATCTTGCCCGTGTCTTCTCAGCTAAGAACATCATGATTCACAATGATATATTGTGGATTAATATTTGATGTTTTTTAGCGGTGTAAGTATACTTATTTTGGAATGAGCTAATGCCGGTTTATTGCTGTACGCGCTGGGTTGTTTGTGGCAAATTTAAACCAGTGGATCGGTTTGCCCGAGATGTTCCTGAGATATCGAATCAATCAGTCAGCATCATAAGGGTAAGCTGTAAGCAAGGCGCTTTAAATGCGCTGAACTATCACAACAAAATTGATGCGTACTATTCTTTCATTGTTTGTTAGAGCAGTCCACCCGATAAGTTGGGTTTTGATGCAAAAGACCAATTAGAGAAAACGGATTATGAAGGAACATGGTGACATCAGCGATATCAAATCTTATTTTGCCGTGGATGTTTCACCCATGATAAATGTTTTCTTTAGTACAGTAAACAAAACTCGATGATATAAAAGCTGCAGAGTCGTTCTATTCAGAAAATGGCAACAAAGAAGTGAAGTTATGTGAACACTGAACGGTTCTGGATTAGAATACATTTCGACCGGCACAACTATCTGTTCATTCATTGTGAGCGCAATTCACGTCCACAATCGAGAGGAGGAAAGATGCCAGCTTTGTATCGGAAAAGAAAACAATCTTGTTTCTGTTTGTGCTGATGGTTAGGGTGAGAACACGTGAATGGTGTAAGTTTCAAAGCTACGATTTTTCGATGGATGTACTCATACATGAATCCAAATGATAACGACTGTGGTAGAGTTGTAAACAGACCTCCACAAGAGTAAAACTATGATAATCTATGAAACAATCTTTGGTTCTTGTACTTTGCCTCACCCAGCTCGGTGTGACATAAACTGAAACCACAGAAATATTCTCACAGTTTTACCTCAATGGTAGTGACACTGTGACCATACATTCTTGAAGGGTTCCGAGAATAAAGTTGCTAAACAAAATTTAACTACAAAACAAAACGCACCCGAATTGCGTCTAGATTTTGCCACGATAGATATTCTATGGTTGATGAAATATCCAGATCTCAAAACACTAGCAAAATTCGCTTCAAAGCTTCCACGAGTAGAACCACATTTGTGTCGTATCTTTAAGGTGAAGTCAAGCGTATGTGTAACTTTGTTCTGACTGTTTAAATCGGACTGTTGCAGCTCTATTAAAGTAGAAAATACTTTCACTATAAACCAATAAATTGAGATAAATATATCCTTGCGAACAACAGATTGCTAAAACCAGTGATAAACGTTATATCTATGAACTTGTATTATTTACCAATATGGAATTGCATCCCCCAATCGGAGGAGATAGTACTCAAGAAATTGCATTGAAAATCGCATTCCCTCGACTAAAGCTCTATAACAGCATCGAGTTTTAAAATTTGCGAAGCACCATTCTCACCGATAATATACACCAATTCTAATTCTGTATCTTATCAAACTACACAATTGAGGATAAGAAAAAAGAAAGCCGTTTTGGATAAACATTTTGTTCGATTTCAATTTGAGAAACGTGATAAGAGAATCAATAACGATTCCCGCGTATAAAATAACCAATCTGTCTCGAGATTGTTGTAGATTCAAAAAATTGTTTGACACGGGTTCGCCCATTGTTCATGCAAGTTATTTCAGTAGTGCCCACTTGATCCATTGTGCTGTCACGTGTTTCGTATCGATCAGATGGACGGTTATAGGCAAGCTATTGAAACGGGAGCTCCTGTGAGCACGAATTAAATGAATGAGCATAATTAAAAGTATCAATATGATTTCTATTATTGCTCATATCAAACAAAATGAAAGCTGACCGTCTGTTTAAGACAACTTCGAGATTTCCTCACTGTGTCACGAATGATGGTCTACAACTTCTGACAATTGTTCCAAGATAAATGCCATATACAAAAAAACAAAAAAAATGAATTGTAACAGAAAGCACAGCAAAAAAATATAACGGTAATGATACCACCTTTGTCCACAACGTCGGTGACTCTATTTCATTAAATACTCAACCTTTATCACAAACAGTAGACAGCTGATTCATATTGAGCTTTCAGGTTGAAAAAAATCTTTAGCTTATCTTCTTGAAACAGACTTACTCGGTATATCACTTGCCGTTAGTTAGTCACGTGACCCAAAATGAAGAAGTTAATACTAATACAACTGACAAACTTGAATTATTCATAACCGGACATTTCAGGTATATTCTGTGCACATATGTCATGCTCACCAATAATGGCTGTGTGCGGGCGCAGTATTTTACCTCTCTGTTACTCTTTTTCGACTGCATTCACTAATAATTTTGCATTTGAATGAAATGGTTTCTATGATCTTCTTAGTCCTCTTCAATCAGACACTGCGTGTCTGATAGGAAGAGCAAACGCTCAGTGATATACAAGAGTTAGCTGTGAGTGAGCATGAACATTATTTTCCTATGTAAAATACAAAACACCATCAGCTAATAAGCCACGGGAATTTACCCCCAAATTACTTGGAAAAAATGGAATACAAAACAATGCGCACAGTAATCTCGCTGGCCAAATTAATTTATGTTGATACTAAATACTGGAACCTGCACCAATGGAGGCGTTTTAACACTTTGAGCCATTTTGAACAGCCTGCACTGATTGTCTCATTCTTCGTAAAACTGTGATGTTGGGCAGTTGCACTTCAGTTCGATCGATACTATGCCTATCCGAGAGTGATCTGAATTAGAACCATCCTCCATGTTCCGGGACATAAGTTTCCAGTTCCCATCACCGAAATTAGATTCTTGTGTCTACGCGGGCAAAACCTGTCTGCTACAGGTGTGTGCAATAAAAGCACAGCTTTGCACCGCTTGTCTAGAAAAATTATTAAATAATTCATTATTGAGAACGTTTAAGGTAAAACAGTTTCCCTCATCTACTTCATATGAACCAGTCGGACTAACCTCGTTGAAGGGAGCGTTGTCAATTGAGATGTGACGCCAAACACTGGACTAGCACATAATTCATCTTATCCAATGGCACTCTGTCTGAAAGTGAAACTTAAATAACAGATGAATTTATCATTAATTCAAGTTCTGTATTTAAATTTTGATATCCAGGAATATTTTTCATTGGTAAGCTCCAGGATCATAGACATAAACCTACGCTTACTAAAGTTAATTTTCACCCAGAATCCCATTAGACGAAGTCACATTATAGTTTCTCACCATCAGTAGCAAAAGAAAACAATTTGCAAATTGACTTAAAAAAAGACATGTTTTATTATCTTTCCATATAATTTTTGTCCGCCTTTATCAGTCAAACTGGTACTGACAGTGTTTACGGAGAGATAAAAATTTAAAACGTCCAAAAACGACCAAACATTGTTTCTTGCCCTAATTGTTCAGTTAAAGAAGGGGAATCATTGACCGAGAACATAAATGTAACTGCCGGTCAAATTTCAAAAGGCACACCTGTAATGGTTTTCCAAATTTTCTCAGTTTGGCCGCAACCGGTGAACAAACGTGGAGGGAAAGTAACCCACTTGACCGTCACATGATCCATACCACCAGAGTTTGTTGGAGCTTTCAATCACACGAACTACCTGCCCGGCTCTGAAACAGGAAGAAGAAATACCGCTATTGTTATTTTGCTTTGACCGCGGCACACATTCAAACAGCCCCCGATCCCTCCCTACGCCCTCATCAATACTTCCTGCCTAACCTAACCACGATTTCGCATGATCCAGATAAAACCCTGTGCACTTTAGCTGGTAATTAGCACCAAAAGGACTCGCTGAAAAACATTTAGATGGTAATTTATTATTTATTGTTTTTTTTCTTAGATACAATACTATTAGTTATCCAGTTTTATTTTGAAAATGAATCAAAACTGCGCTCAGCTATTTGCGCCCATAGAACTGCAAAACATGCTTTTTACACGAGCTGTAACGTTTTTGTCTAACTTCATATTCCCGATGCATGTCCGTGAAGGCGTGAGAAAAGTATTCATATGTTTTGCATTCATATACGATAAATTTTGGGTAATAATATGAAACCCTAAGATGAAAGGAATATTTTGATTTTGATTGGTTAAATGAATGAATGGTTGCAAATTATCCCACGCCATCTAATCTTCATTTGAGAGAATAAACCATTGTTTTTAACTATGGCACTGCGGTGTACAAACTCACCGCAATGGAAGATCGTCTCTTCGCCTTGGTACAAAGTCGTTGATCACAAAGTATACATTTCCGACGGCAGACTGAAAAGAAAAATAATGGCATTTGAAGTGGTTAGTTAGTTCTATGCCCGAGGTTATTTGCGAACAATCTGAACGAGTGCATAGTAGAAATGAGAGCTGGTAGTCAAAAGTGTGGTCCACTTAAAAAGCATTTCTGATAAATCAAGGTCAACTAGGTCTAGGATCGTTAGCAACGTAAATACCGTTACCGTCAGGGATTTAGTTAAACCAGGACGGCTGATGATCCTGACACACTGGACAACTAAGGTCGTTTTGTAGTCAGTCGCTTGATTGTTTTACCCTTGGGGATTGAGACCTCAGTCTTTGGTCGCCCNCCAAACTGGCATCCGGTGATTTGTGTTACGGTCTGCAAGCTGCTTGTCCGCTGGCAAGAGGATGATTTATTTAGTTCATTAGGTCAACTCACCGTAGATCAGCTGGATACGAGGAACGCCAATACTGTCCATCTGATTCAATGCACGGGGTGATTTTAAAAAAATAGTACTACACGCTTTCCCAGATTTTTTAGACACATGAATTGGAACCTGTATCCCGTTCAGTTTGACTTCTTTCATTGGAACCGTTCTCCTAGTAGGTCATGGTAGATATATTCGGAAAACCCACTTGTAAACTAGGATGGAACACTGTAGAGTCTGCATAAACGCGTTATTCTGTGCGTGCCACTATCTCCATCTGTCACCAAAGCGGTGTCACATATCTCATATCATAACACCGGGCGGTGGTGGCCCGGTGGTAACGTCACCGAATTATCTCCCCGAGGATGTGTACGAATCCCACCAAAACCGCCTGACTGTACTGAATGGCAGCACTTTGATTGGCCGCTTCCCCCTGCCTAAAAATTGTAATCTGTATATTCAATAAAAGTAAGTAAGATGAAAACAGTAAAAAAGAATCGACGTTGAAACCATCGGAATAACTAAATCACATTTCGCTTAAAGGAAAACGGTAGTCTGGATCACCATGAACCACAATGATTACTTAAATACCACTAAATATTGTTTCTAGTCAGCCTAAGATGCACGTTCACTGTAACCCAAGCACATGTTTCTAACATTTTCTTCTTGGATTATTCCTTAAACTGATAGTAGTCTTTTTACTGTCTTGATGCATGTTTGTTCAAAATTCTGCAGTGACCTCACATGTCAAAATGATGGGAAAGCTGAAAGTTGATATTTGTAAATTAAACCCTTCAAGCATTCTGCCACATAATATATCAAAATCTATCTTAACATCTGCAATGTTTTATTACACTTGCTAACAGCATATAGAATTTTCGAAGGTTTATGAAAAATAACGGAGTGCTCCAGGGTCAGACGCTCATGAAATTGACACTTCTCACACCGGTATGGCAGCAAACAATCGTTTTTATCTAGGGAACGGTTGTGCACCAAATCCAACGTTTCCCTCCACATCTTTGTTGAACCAGTTACACATCAGTAACCTGCACCTAATCCGTACTGGTCAATACTCACTCTGTGATGTTTTCAATCTAATCGAATCACGGCATGAAGTAAAACGAATGAATGACGTTAGAAAAACAAAAATTGTTAAAATACGCTCACAAGAAACGACGATTTCTTGGTTGGGTAAAATCCCATATGCTTTACTTCAGCGTCAATAGAAATATATTCACTAAAACGCGGAAAGTTTGTTCACTTGTTAGTTAAACAAAATGTGTTATCCACTTGCCTCCCTATAAAATAATTGAGTTATTAAATCACCACCAACAATCGGCTATATTTCTTAAACTAGAATTGACTGCTATCATTGGAGATTTAACAAAAGTATCCACGCCCATTGATTACCAAAAATTTAGGCCCTCTTGAGCTACTCAAACTTCAACGTTTTAAGGATTCCAGTAAATCAAAAACGCGTTATTTTTATTTATTTATCAAGTACAGTTCGCTCGAAAACAAAACAAATGATTAGAAAATGAAGCTCGTATCAAGATACTAAATGCTCAATAAACCGATACTTCATTTATATATTATTATTATATTTTATGACTTACAAAGCAGTGATATCATCGCAAACTCACATGTTCTCGTCGACCATATGCGGAACTTGGATGATAGATGCTACTTGACGAGGAACCACCAACGGGAAATTTGGATCCAACTGATTGGCTCATGCTTGAGCTGGTAGGATATGGTTGATAGGTGATATTTCTCGGTTTGTGCTCATCCAAATTCGGTTGTGACTGGATATCCATGTGCCATTCCGGTGTGCGATAATGTGGCGGTTGCGTCGATTCTGATACACATGAACAAGTGAGCAAATAGAACCGTTCAGCCTGGTTATCATCAGTCAGTTGGGTAAACTGTTTTCAGATCTGAAAAATCCTACAGACCCTGTTTCCGAATTGGAGTTTGACTCCCTACCTGTTGACGATAGTAAAATAAACATTTGGCAACCGCATTGGTTCAATGAAATAATGATTTCATTACGGTACATTGCCAGAAGTAAGCGAGCAAGCGGACACACACTGTGCATATTTACTCTACGGTTGATGATGTAAAGGTTTCTTAATAATTATTACATCTAAATAACTAGAACGAAGACAGGTTGAATAAGAACACAACTACAACCAGAAAAATTCCAGATGCCTCGTTTGGTGTTGATTTAGCTAGTTCAGTCAATCGTGCACGGAACTTGATCCGAGAGATTAAGGGTCTCGATCGCGAAAAGCTCGGCAGTCACAAACGAAGTAAATGCTGCCAACCTGTTTGCATTTGTTAACCCGAATCGTTTTTTGGACAAACCAAACGTGAGTGGCATATGTGTAAATAATCTCTTGGACCTAATAAAGCTTTGTAGAGGAGGGATAAGCCATCGCACGGAGAAATGCAATCTTTTCGGGTGAACTACAAGGACTCGTATGCGTTTCATCTGGTAAGGTTCCGGACATCGGCGTAAAACGATGTTTAGAGTAGACCAGATTGGTACTTTTTCCTACATCGGGAATGAAATCGTAATTCCACGCACGTGTATGTGCACTCTCGGCTGCTGTTTATAGTCCGTCGCATTTTCAGGTACAGATCGCCAGTAAAACACATTTATATCTAATTCAAAATGACTACTGATACACTTTTCACCGTATGTAAAATTATTGACATTAGTGTGCTTCGACAAAATCAAGTGTTTGGAAACCTCATCTGTAATCATTCCAATGACATTTTAATTAGGTCTGTAAGGAGTTAACGGTAATTTATCGAGACAATGTATAATATGCTCTCTCATCATCTGCTCGAAAGTTAGTTTCCATCAAGCAATCAGAAAGCTGTTTCTTCGATGCGCAATGTAGAATCTCTTACTAACTCGCAAGTTTCATTATCCTTGTCACTTCTGGTAAAGACAAAGATTATTTCTCAATAAACACATACCGTCTGATGATTAACACTGGAACATGTGCGACCGAATGTATGTTTTTGATGGTTCATTTTATAGCCTCTACATAAATGCCTGTTATGCGTATGAAATTTTATCAGTATATCAACCAATGCGATTTTTCATTCAATAAGTTGGAAGCCAGTTGATTGGTTGTGAGGTAGAGGAGATGCGGATAATGAGGATATGGTGTATTATTCACCTATGGTAACCATTAATCTTGATAGATTAGTCTACCACAAATACCATCGTCGATCTCCGTCCTAGGAATATCTAAGGCTAGCGCAAGCTTCTTTTACCAGCAAAGTGCAGGCTAACGCACAGGCATGCTGATCTCTTATATCGGCAATGTTTTACCCCGTCAACCAGAAGGTAAGAACTTTATAGAATAGAATTCATGGTTCACTAGGCCGGTTTACATTCACCCAGTATTATGGCCTAGACCAAGGTTATTTGTCGTGCTGCTTCACCTTTTACGGTGCGAATCCTTGAGAATACGATTAAACGAACTGCTAATCATGCACTACCCCCTGAAACCTCCAATAATTTGTAAAAGCCCTACAATATGCAAAAATAGACAGGAATACAGTGTTCTCCTTAGATACTGCCTTACTATTTACCAAAGGGCGGCTAGTAAAATCAGGAAATTCCATCTGCTTATTCGTCCTATGGCAGAATATGTGTCCATGGAACTCTAATCAAGATCCTTTAAAAAGTTACGGTTTATATGTACATTAATCTTAACCTTTCTGGGTGACGAAGTGTATCATCAACAACAATGTGCCGAGCAATAAAACATTTATTTCCTAGCTACATAACATATGTACACCGGTATATAAGTTCCAATCAGTTCAATTTATG